CTCAGTGTACCCACACCGTGCCCCTTTAAGGGCTCCGGGGCCGAGAGGGGGACAGAAAAGTTTCTCTGGTTGGGCCCAGAGTGGCCACCAGGGCAACCTGGGAAGGGCTAGCCTCCCACTAGTTCGAATTAAGTGGCTACACAGCTCTTAATTCGAACTACTCAATTCGAACTAGGCGTTAGTCCTCGTAGAATGAGGTTTACCTAGTTCGAATTAAGCGCTCCGCTAGTTCTTTTTAAATTCAAACTAGCGGTTTGTAGGTGTAGCCACTATTAAAGTTAATTCAAACTAACGGTTAATTCAATTCTAATGAAGTGCGGGATATTTAAATCCCCGCTTCATTAGCAATTTCAGTATGTCTAATTTACATCCCTCTGGCAACAGAGGGATGTAGTCCAGACATACCCTAAGGCGCCCAGATACAGGCATGGCATGTCAGTCAGTGTTTTACCAAGGACTGTGTCTCTGATTTTTCACTGCATTCTTCTGCAGCTCCGAGTAGCATTGGTGATGTTTTGCTACCGGATCACACTGCGCACTCTGCTGCAAATGGCTTCTCACTCTCCTAGCTCCCTTCTGGCCATTTCTGCTCCCTGGTGCACTGTCTGTGGTTTTCACTTGTCTGGTTCATGGCACAGCAACACTGCTGTCAGTAAAGATGAGTCCTGTTTTTCCACTTGAGACAGGGATTTTCCCTCATGCTGAAACTGCTGCAGGATCACGTCTCGGGCCACAGAGCCAAGCATCTTTGTCTTGTAGGCTGGGGCTTACAGTCTCCCCTTGCTGCCTGACCACACTAGGGACAGTCCAGGCCCCCATTTTGGCTCTAGTTTCTGCTGCCCATCTCCCCATTGCATTCATAGAATCATAGAATCATAGGACTGGAAGGGACCTCGAGAGGTCATCGAGTCCAGCCCCCCGCCCTCAAGGCAGGACCAAGCTCCACCTACACCATCCCTGACAGATGTCTATCTAACCTGTTCTTAAATATCTCCAGAGAGGGAGATTCCACCACCTCCCTTGGCAATTTATTCCAATATTTGACCACCCTGACAGTTAGGAATGTTTTCCTAATGTCCAATCTAAACCTCCCCTGCTGCACTTTAAGCCCATTACTCCATGTCCTGTCCTCAGAAACCAAGAGGAACAAATTTTCGCCTTCCTCCTTGTGACACCCTTTTAGATATTTGAAAACCACTATCATGTCCCCCCTTAATCTTCTTTTTTCCAAACTAAACAAGCCCAGTTCATGAAGCCTGGCTTCATAGGCTTCTCTAGACCTTTAATCATTCTTGTCACTCTTCTCTGTACCCTTTCCAATTTCTCCACATCTTTCTTGAAATGTGGCGCCCAGAACTGGACACAGTACTCCAGCTGAGGCCTAACTAGTGCAGAATAGAGCGGCAGAATGACTTCACGAGTTTTGCTTACAACACACCTGTTGATACAACCTAGAATCATATGCCTCCCACTAGTTCGAATTAAGTGGCTACACAGCTCTTAATTCGAACTACTCAATTCGAACTAGGCGTTAGTCCTCGTAGAATGAGGTTTACCTAGTTCGAATTAAGCGCTCCGCTAGTTCTTTTTAAATTCAAACTAGCGGTTTGTAGGTGTAGCCACTATTAAAGTTAATTCAAACTAACGGTTAATTCAATTCTAATGAAGTGCGGGATATTTAAATCCCCGCTTCATTAGCAATTTCAGTATGTCTAATTTACATCCCTCTGGCAACAGAGGGATGTAGTCCAGACATACCCTAAGGCGCCCAGATACAGGCATGGCATGTCAGTCAGTGTTTTACCAAGGACTGTGTCTCTGATTTTTCACTGCATTCTTCTGCAGCTCCGAGTAGCATTGGTGATGTTTTGCTACCGGATCACACTGCGCACTCTGCTGCAAATGGCTTCTCACTCTCCTAGCTCCCTTCTGGCCATTTCTGCTCCCTGGTGCACTGTCTGTGGTTTTCACTTGTCTGGTTCATGGCACAGCAACACTGCTGTCAGTAAAGATGAGTCCTGTTTTTCCACTTGAGACAGGGATTTTCCCTCATGTGTCATGGAGAGCACCATGTATCGCCCCAAAACATTATCCGAGTAGGAATGGAACGTTCTGAGAATGCTTCAGATAACGTTTGGAGTGTAAATGTATTAAATGTTAGTACTTTAAGAAAAACAGTCTCATGGGTGGGGCACCTTCTAGCTAACAAACTGAAAAGGTAGCATTACATGTATGTTTGAAGAAATTAAGTTATAATTAAGCGAAGTTATTAACAATCTTTATGTCTAAGATTTGCCCTTAACGTTCACAATGTGGCCTTATTCAGAATAACCATCATTTCCCACAACTCACAGGGCAGTGAGGCCAAAGATTGCCCCTAGTGAAGACACTTGCCTGTTCACGCAAGTCCTGGCATGTGGCAGTGAACGTGTCACTACCAAGATTGAAACTAAATAACAGAATTATCAAACACACGGATGAGCATAATTTGTTGGGAGAAAGTCAACATGGTTTCTGTAAAGGAAAATCCTGCCTTACTAATCTACTAGCATTCTTTGCGGGGGGTCAACAAGCATGTGGACAAGGGGGGAATCCAGTAAATATAGTGTACTTAGATTTTCAAAAAGCCTCTAATAAGGTCCTTCAAAGACTCTTAAGCAAAATAAGCTGTCATGGAATAAAAGATGAGATCCTCTCCTTAATAATAACTGATTAAAGGATAATAAACAAAGGACATGAATAAATGGTCAGTTTTCAGAATGGAAAGAAGGAACTAGTGATGTCCCTTGGGGGTTTCTGTTGGGACCAGTCCTATTCAACATATTCATAAACAATCTGGAAAAAGTGGTAAACAGGGATGTGGCAAAATTTGCAGATGATACCAAACTGCTGAAGATAGATAAGTCCATAGCAGACCTTGAAAGAGCTTGAAAAAAGGATCTCACAAAACTAGGTGACTGGGCAACAAAATGGGAGCTGAAAGTCAATGTTGATAAATGCAAAATAATGCACAGTGGAAAACATAATCCCAACTATACATATAAAATGATGGGGTCTGAATTAGCTGTTACACTCAAGAAAGAGCTCTTGGAGTCATGGTGGATAGTCCTCAGGCGACATCCACTCAATGTGCCCTGGCTGTCAAAAACGCTAACAGAACGTTAGGAATTATGAAGAGGGAGATATATAAGAAGACAGAGAAGATAATGCTACCTCTATATAAATCCATGATACACCCACTTCTTGAATATTGCATGCAGATGTGGTTGAAATGGGAACACATTCAGAAAAAGGCAACAAAAATGATTAGAGGTATAGAACAGTTTCCCTATGAGGAGAGATTACTAAAACTGGGTCTCTTCAGCTTGGAAAAGACATGATTAAACAGAGCATATGATAGAATTCTATAAAATCATGACTGGCATGGGAAAGTAAAAAAGGAAGTGTTATTTACTGTTCATAAGAAAAGAACTAGAGATCACCAAATGAAATTGATACGCAACAGGTTTAAAGCCATTTAAAGGAAG